CAGAAGACGGTTATCTTCGTATTTGTCGCCGTGAGAACCTGGAGTCTCGCTGGGTCTCAGGTGAAGTGAAATGTGAACGGTATTGATTAGGAAAGTCGAGAGATTCTGTGACAGTGCGCATATCGTCTTATTCACGTTCCTGAAGGTCGTATCTGTGGACTTAATCGATGTCTTGCTTTCGGTTTCGATACAAAACATCGATTTGTTGGACAATTAAGAAAGTATCGAGGTATTGGATTGTGACATTTTGTTCATATAGTAAATTTGTGGGTTTTGTATGAATCTCAGAATAGACAATGATCATGTTTTTAAACAGCGTTAACCAGTCGATCTTTTTGAGGTAAAAACTGCATTATAAATATGAATTAGATTATCTTCATCTTCAAAGTTATAAACAAGGGAAGACAGGTGTAATACGTACGGGAATACACGGTTTCCAAACATGTTCTTTGCACCTTTGCAATTAATATCGATTTGGAAATTTTTACCAATTCACTCGCAAAAGAAGATGGAGGGAATTGCAGTCCATTTTAAATACTTTCCACTATTGCATACTCAGACATAAATTTTAAACTTTTTCTTTCTTCTCTTATGGTTAATTTGTTTGTATAAAACTTAAGAGGAGGGCATAAGGAATTGAATTATTATTATTATTTAGTATTATTTATTTTATTTAGAATTATTAAATTGAATTATATTACTTAGGTATCATATTTAGCCCATTTATTTGTGAAATATGATTGAATAAATGAATCGAATCTTTTTGTACGGCCCGCGAGCTAAGAACGGATTTTACATATTTAAATTCTTTGAAATTTCAAAGTACGCGCTATAACGAAACAGCCGAGTTGAGTAGTTGAGAGAAAGACCGTATGTGGCGCTCCTATAGCTTCGCATTCTTACGCTGCTTGGCGGCCTTGGCTGTGACATTCGCAGCGTTTCCATTGCCACATGTATAGCTGTTCTGTGACATTTTGTTCTCATTTTATTACCCTTGAGATGAATACGGTCAATTAAAATCATACGCTCGGGGATTTATATCTGTATTTGGCAGCACCTACCTGTGTGAAAAGACATTTTGAAAGATGAAATATGTAAAATCTCAATACAGGTTAGCATTAACGGATGACCATTTACAATCAATTTTGATGATAGGGAGTACTAAATTTAAACCTCAGTTTGGTGAAACGTTATCTCATAACAGGCAATTCCATTCTTCTCATTAGTAGAGCTGTATTTCAAACAATTGTAGTTTACTTATTATTATTACGTTACATTTTGTCCAATAAGTTTGTTAAAACTTGGTTTTTTCTTGTTACATAAGTAGACTTACCTTTATAAATATCCTCGAGTTTGCCTCTTGGCTCGCAAAGCCTAAAATATTTACTATTTGGCCCTTTAGAAAAAATGTTTGCCGACCCCTGTATTAGACCATTAAGTGCACTATACTATATAGATATGTATACTTCAAGATTTGTCGCAAGCTATTAACTTCAGAGTAAAATAGACGTTTGTTATAAAACAAAGCGTTTTCCTATTTTGACTATACAGACAACTTTCAATTGAAATTTTACAAGCCAGTCGTATTTTGGTAAATCAACTGATGTAAATTAGCTACGCTAAGATCCCTATCGACTTTAATTGTTTTATTATTATTATTATTATTATTATTATTCCATCTATTCACCACTTTATGTGGTATGTACTCCCATGTACCCGAGGCAGACCTTGTCCCTAAGGTGCATATGGCAGCAGCTATTTCCGGGATCCATATTGTTTTTAGCAAGTGCCACACGTATTACATAATTTTATTTTATGACAGCGTCTTTCGAATGATGTATGAAGATCCCAAAATGGCGGTCTTCTGCAGTTCCCTGATGTCGTGTTCGCCCGGGATGTTATTATTAATTTTCTTCTTCTTCTTGGAAAGAACTTTAAATTTGTCGGGCATAACCTCAAACGTTCGCATCGTCGCCATGTTTCAGTTGACTCAGATTTTGCCGCCCTAGCCTAGTCGTTAAACCGGCTGTGGACATTGGTATTACTCATTGTACGAAAATTAAAAC